GTGGGATTAAATGTGCACTGAAAAAGAAGTTTGTCTTCTAGTAAACAGACAATAAAATTGATCAACGATTTAAGAAGCTTCAAATTTGTCAAGTGCGACTAGTTTTTACTGATTTTATTGCCAGTAAAATTGGATTTTTGTCTTGTTAAAGACTCTTCAATCTCGTGAAAGGAATGAATTTAAAGTTGAGACAAACACTTCATGAATTTTACGACAAACTTTGATGGCAATATTTTATGCATATCGTCCAGAATTATATGCTCAACTCAATTTCTTTATGAATGGAGCAGCCAATTTTGTTGGCTTTTCACATTCCACTTGTTGTTCTTCTCATGGCATGCAATAGCAAGTCTCACATTGAGCTTAGAAGTTACTTAATTAGAAAACAAGATTCTATACAGTATTATTCTGAATAATAGTCGCGCAGAGGCACATCGAAAAGTTAAAATCCAATCTGATTCACTTCTCCTCTTTATCTTGGGCTTCTCCGCGAAAGCTCTCACGCCTTCGCGTATAATTAATGAATGCGGGGATTCTTTCCACTGAGCTGCCAGCAGTTTAGGGTCTGTGCATACGGGAATGATTGTTATTGTTGGATGTGGAGTGACGTGGATGACATCATCATCCGCGCCTCGTGAAATATGCGGTGTGTCATGATGAATAATTCTCTAGGATGCTCTTGAGATGACGCAGACGGTGTCTAATTAAATCTTTCAACTTGGCGCTTCCCATACATCGCATCCTGGGGTGTGTTGGGAATCTCGAAGAGAGGATTCAGCAATTAATCTCACCCCTCTCGTGAGAATCCCAGCCTAATCCCATCACAGAATATTTGACACTGACAACTGTAAGGCCAATTGATTTAGAGGATGAAAAAAGCTCCCCCCAGGGCCATTGACAGGCTCTCATGGGTCGAAATTGAATTGAATAACTTGGCAATGAGCGCTGAGTGGGCAATAAAATATCCGTGAGGATCACAATAATGATGATGATACACGTCATAGTGGTGAGCATTAAGATAACACATCCACAGAAACTGCTTCTGGGCTCCACTTCCCACCTTCTGCCACCCAAGGCAACCCAGAGTGTGGCGGGAAAGGGGGAGGTCGAAACACACGGAGAAAGTTCGCGCCAAATGGCATCGCATTTAGATTCGAAAGAGAGAAGTCATTTCGATCGATTTGTGAAACTCAACGACTCCAAATAGCCGCCCCATCGCACTCTCGCTCGTGCATCCCTTCCGACTGGGTGGCCATTGGCAAGGATGTTGAGCCAGAGTCCGATATCCGAAATCCATTTGCGCGGAGACAGTCTATTTTGGGTACAGCCTCACCCGCAGTCACACCATAAGCCCGATGGATGGCCCCAGAGGGGGGCCATTTTTCCACTGTCTATTTGCCTCATGTGGACAACAGATATTGATGATTTGCTCCGCTCCCGGCAATATTTCCCACAATCCACATTACTTCTGCGGCCAATGCGGCAGAATTCAGGTCAGAATATAATTTGCTGGGCAACACCGGAAGAATATATAGTGCTTGGTCTGAGGGAATTTCGACGAATTGAGGACTTTACAGCTTTAAAATACATATTAGCGTAGGGAATTGAGAATAATATTTTTGATGCAAGCAACAGAAGTTTCGCAATGAAAACTCCAACACTTCATTTTGCTTTAAAGCTCTCAAAGTATTTTTTGAGAAATCCAAGTGCAAAGTGCTGAAATATGAGTATTTTACTACTAATATTCTTCACGAGAATCGAGCACAATGCGATAAGTTGAGTGGGATAAAGTGCAAGGGATGAGATTGCGTCCTACTTTGGGTGTGATGGCCTGAAGGATGACAATGAAGCGTCGACAGAATGACAAGGATTGAAATTGCCTTCTGCCCATTGTGCTTTACTGGGGGATACATTTCCACCAGCTTTTCGATTTATATGCCCATCGTATGGTATCGTAAAAAAGGCACTACGATACATGCGAATGCGGCAATCAATAAGACTACGCATTGTCTGGATTGCCTCATCAGGGACATGCTCATCTTCCTGGTTGTCCATTGATATGCCTCAGGATGGCCTTTTGGGGCACTTCTCGAGCGGACTTCAGATTGACTTTCAGCATCGGATTGACAAAAGTTCCCGCGCAATGGACAAAACTGTTCGGATGAGCGATATTCATGGGAGCTTTGGGAGCTTTTGCAGCTGAAGTGCTTCTGTTTGGAATTGGAGACATCGCCAGATGACCCGGGGAAAATGCCAGTGAATATATATTTGAGCAATTTCCCCGAGGAAATTTCCATGCAGTTTGCACAATTCAGCAATCGAAATTCCATCCCGCGAGTTAGATTTTCAATGCAGAAAATATTCCAAGAATACGATGTTCACAGGCAATAAGCATACTTCAAAATATAGAAGAAAAGGACTTGCTCGCATCTCGCCTTCAATAAAAATTCACACTCGCTTGTCTTATTCACCTGAGAGTTTCGCCTCGTGGAAGGTGCAAAAAAGCACGCGAATCCTTCCTATTCTTTGGGCGCAAGAGAGAGAAAGATGAATAATAATATACGTTTTTATTGATTGTGTGTTTCGTTCTTACCTTCCTCTCTCTCTCTCACTTTTTCCCTTCACAACTTCCCAAATGCAAAAGCGACGAGGTGAATTTCTCCCATCCAAGCGAATCATCATTTCCATGAATACATTTTGGCATTTTCTTCATGGGAAAAAATTCCATCCCACACCCTTAAAGGAATCTATACATGGAAATGGAAAAGTAATTATGAGGGTGTCTGACGCAGGTAAAACTTTTTTCCATGCCTGCGAAAAGTGCCTCCACTCTTCCACCAATTTCATATTGTATTTCCGGTGGTGTGTGAGCCGATGGTGTGGGAAATGTTCCGTGAAAATCCGCCCTACAACATGCTGGAAAATTTTCCAACGTGTGCGCCATAAAGCTCCCCACTCAATAGTGCACGTCAAAGCTCATCACATCCAATTCATACTCGGGTTTCTTATCATCACCCCCAGTTCACGGGAAATGAATGTAAATTTACAAAACATGTAATCGATTTAGCATTTTGCGCTCAAATTGACATCATGTGACATGAGATTAAGTCAATTTTTGGCGCGCGCGCTTTCCCCGGGCGAAAAAGCGTGGAGCAACGTCACATTTCAGGGGTGAATGTGTCAATTATGTGGCAAAGAAGAGGACATCCTGCCGAGGGGATGATACTAATATTCTTGCAGGCCAAAGTGGGAAATAGATTTATGGATTTTCTCACCCCATCGGAAAAATACGTGATGACAGATCCGTTTCCGGGCAGAATTGCTTGAATTGTGACAAGGAAATCACGCAAATATTCATAGGAATTGTTGGGTGAGATTTCATATCATCATAGTTTGAAATATACGGAAAATAAGGCGGAAAATATCTATAGTTTGTAACCATAGAGAAATCTGTCAATTTAATAACATCCCCCAGGACTTTCCTCTCAGTGAACTTGCAAAGCTTCACCGCAAATATTTGCATTGTAAAATCACGAGGAGATATTTTTTTGCCTCACCAAAGGCATTCAATGCGTGTCAGATTTCCATCGTGAAGGGAAGGAAATGGTAAATTGGCAGGATGGAGTTTCTCTGCAGAAAATCACATTTGATGAGGCGAATACACCTTGAAAATCTCACGGATATTGAAACGGAAACCACCGTGAATTTGAATATTAGATTCTGCGACGTGCTCAGATGTGAAATTCCGACATAATCAAGGATGAGATTTTTTTTTATCTGGGGCGTTGTTAGTCGGTGAACAAGTGCTGAATTCCACATTCGACTCTGGCGGTGGTGGCTTTTGGGGGTGTGTGGGCAATGACATTGCTGTAACAAACGATCCGGAGCGACATTTTTGGCCATCTCCTCTGCAATGTGATAAATGTTATTCTATTTAGCCATCCATCCAAACGAGCGGGTGACGCCGAGCTCCTCCCTGTCATCCCTTGTCCACCACGCCAAAAGTGGTGAGCTGCCACGGGAATTGTGCCGGATAAGAAAATTTGCGACATGATGAGGCGACTAGAGATAAATCACTGCACACTTATGCCTCCCGAACAGCGCCGGGTCGGCAGAATACACGCAGAGGAGAGTGTGTAAAACAGCCACAATTTCAGGACAGTGATTAATTCTTCCTTCTATACGTCATTCATTCCAAAACTTCCCTGCGAAAGCACAACGACCATGCACTGTATCAACAAGTATGACATTAGTTTCTTGTCGTCGTAAACATGCGGAAAATGTTGAGGAAATTGAGTTAATCGCCGTTGCTGCTCGTCTGATTTATTGCATTTCCTGCTAATTTGCCTGCGAACTTTAAAAAGCATCACGGCGCATCTCAAAAGCTCAATGAATTGATTTATTACTCACCCCACGATTGATTTGCTCTCGTAAGAAAAATTCTCTGCGTCCTTCCATGCAATCAATTATCCACTTGGCAACTTTAGCACCCACTTTACTCACTCGAAACTCGGTCAATTCGCCAAATATCGATATCCCAGCGAACACTTTGTGGAGTTTGAGCAAGCAATTTATGATTGATTTATCGAAAGCTGTGCAACTCCGATTCTCCTCAAGTATAGTTGCCTAATTGCTCTTCCACTTTAAGGGTGTGTGCAAGATTAAAGAAGTTCACAGAGAGTGAAAAAAGGGAAGATATTTATATGTAATTAAGTAAAAGTGTGTGCAGAAGGAGAGCGAAAAGGAGAGCAAAGAGACGATAAAAGTTGCTACTGTTTTTCATGTTTCTTATTGATTTTGGCCTTCGCCAATGGTGAATGAATGCAATTTAATATCACACGATGCGGGTGCACAGCTTTCTCTCGCCATCGATGAAGACGTGGATATAATCGTAAAAATAAAATGGAATGAACAAACTTGTCTATTTAATTTTGTTTTTCACAATTTCTTTTTTATTTACTTGTATATGTGTTGCCATTGTTCGCGCTCCTCTTTCCACATGAATTTATATGTACAGTGTTTTTTTTTACTCTTCGCATTTCAGTTACTAATTTACATGATAACAATTCCGTTTCTGCAGAATGTCCTCACTCGCCATACTGTCCATTGATTTTCTCTCTCTCTCTTTCTCTCTCTTACTTTCCATCTCCACAATTGCGACTCAGATGGGTATTATCATGGCGAGTCATTTATATTTATTTTCCAGAAAGGTATACGGTTATTTGTTCTCTCATGTTTGTGGCTTCTTTCCTGCACAATTAGTTTGCTATTAAATATCATTTATGGGAACATTTTAATTACATCTATTCTGGGGCTTCGCAGAAGTTTTGCAATCATCTCAATTGCCGCGCCTTTGAAGAGGACTGTGGATTTTTCTGGGATATTAAAGTGGGATTACTATGACATTATTTCTGTATAGATTCAAAAAAAAAACTTCAACTCTCCTTACAGCATTCTTCAAGACAGTTTACATATATCAGTATCAGATCTCCCACAAATTTCTGCTCTACAGCTTGATCAAAACTCCACACTCTTTCACACATGTACAATGAAATGTTTTATGTGACTCCCATACAAATTCTCCTATATATCACGATGATTATGATGCTGTCTTACATTGGAACCTACAACCTCACCTAGCGCATCTTTACAAAAGTTACATCACTAAAATATCACGGCCTATCAAAATTATTGTTGTCAACAGATCCATATATAGTGTACGTGTACAAAAATCGTCATATGGGTGATGAAGATCAAACAACTCAACTAAACTCATCGTCTGTCCTAAGAAAGTGGTTCATATGAAAATCGGGTCTCACACAGCCTCTCGCAGATCGGCTGTGCTGTACCTGTGCTATACGGTGATCTCCTGGATCTGCACCCTCTTCTTCAGGGTGGACGTGTTTCCCGCGCTGGGACTCGAGCTGGGCACCATGGCCGGCGGCACTTGCAGGTGCGCCACGTCGGCCAGATGCGGGCCGCTGGGCAGTGCGTCTGGGTTGCTGGATGTGCGAATGGGGGGCTGCGGCGGAGCCCCGTGGTGCCCCTTCGCCGCCGAACACTTGTGCTGATTGGGACAGTTGGCCGAGTGATGATGAGCCTTGGCGAAACGACGAAAGATATATACTTTTCAGTCAATTGCTCCATTTGGAGCATAAGATTGACCAGAAATTTCTCTATTTTCAGCTTCTTTGAGCAAATTCTAGATTTTTTCTTCTCTTCCTCTGCTCAATATTGAGCAGAAAAGGGAAACATTAACTGAACAACCGCAAAGGGTTAACTAAGCCATATTGAAAAGCTTGTAAATTAAATTTTCAGAAGCTCAATAACTTCCAATGGGTTTCGCGAATAAATTCTGCTCCAATTACTTGACGAACGTGGAAAAAATGCAAACCATAGCAAATTGGTAATTGACGAGTGAATGCATCGCCCATATGAACATTCCTGATACTCTGAGTGCTCTGCCGAAATCAATTTTCTACACCGCATCAATGGTTGTTGACGTTGAGTAGAAATGTGATTAAAATTTAATTCAAGCCATAGCATTTTTTGCCTTGTTGAAAAGTACTCAAACTGGAAGTTTTCCGTCAACTCTTATTTTTGACCTATTACGTTATTTGGTGAAAGCTTGCGATTTCACATTGTCTTGGCATAATTATATATATCAACGCTAATGGAAAAGCCAATTCATGGCGTGCAATATTGAATTCTCGGCAATTACCTGCTTGCACTTGTCCGAGTGTCCCTTCCGCGTGAGTGTTCCGCATTGGTCCTTCCTGAGGGTGCAGGGGCTCCGCTTCTGCAGGGTGGTGTAGTTGGGCGGCGGCTCCGGCTGCCTTTTCCCATTTGGCGAGTTGTTGGGGCGCACCGTTAATGGAATTTCTAAACAATGCCAGAGCGCAAGAATAGAGGTGAGAATGGCGAAACAGCATGATGAGGAAAAAAACCGAGGGAAAATTCTCGTATTTTCCCACATCGTGGCATTCATTCGACCATTTCAAATGGCAAAATGAACAATTTATGCATTGTTTCTTCTACTGTTCCACTGGGTTGTGCGCTTTGTGCAAGGATAGATAAAAAAAAAAGAACAACAACAACAGCCCAGAAAGGTCGGCGATGACGATGAATTATCGAGAGAATGAATCAGGAAGAAATATTGGGATTTTTCCAGATAAATTCGCAATGTATTGTTGCATGGAAAAATTCCATTTTCACGGAGTTTTGTTCGCGGAATTTTGTGTTTTTTTTTTGTTGTTGTTGTTGACTTTGAAAAAGAGGTCTTTCAAAATGGAGTTTTCTACATAAAAAATTATTATATGTTTCATTATTCTTCTCCTTATCTCCACACCGCCCACAACTTTCTGTCCATAAGTCGAACAGCCCAAGGGGGAGATATTATAGCTGAAATCTGTACATCACTTCCTGACACTTCCACAGTTTCTTTGAATGAACACTTTAGGCATTTTTTATCGCTTTTTCGATTTCTTTAACTGATGCTTGCACGCATTTCTGTCTTTGTTAATGCCTAAAAACTTCGATTCAAATTCTGAGGTTATGATTTCGTGTTAAAAAATCCCTTGGACCAATTTTAGTCCTTTCAAACCTGAAAATGACATTTTTGAGGTTATGATTGACTTTTTAGTTGAAATTGAACCAATAGAGAGTATTTTTTTAAACAAAAAGCACAATTTTGCAAAGAAAAAGAGTAATATTCTCCTAATTAACTTAAAGTTGTTAATTTTTAGAGTTATTGTATTATAAAAATCTGTCTTAAAGCACTTATATAGCATAGAAAAGCAATAAAATTGACTATTCTAGAAGAAATAACTTGGAAAATGCAGAAAGTTGTTGTAAAAGAAGTTTTGGCAGTGCAAATATTCTAAATATTTTAACACTTCCAATTCCTATCACTTCCTTAGAAACTGTACACCACTTCAGACCACAATATCTTCCCCTTGGAACAGCCAACGGCAAAAGCTGCCACAATAGAAGATGCACATTGAAATATTTCATCGCATGATGGCGCGGCGTGAAATTTTCGTGTCCAGCCGCAGTATTCGAGGGAAAGCGTGCGGGGAGAAATTGGGAATTGCGGCCGCGGGACAATTGCAAGTGTGTCCAGCTTCTGGGCACATAACTCACCTCCATCCACTGGACTCCCATGTCCTGAGCCGGAGCTCTGGTGACGGCGCAATGTTCGGTTTTTTCGGCGGGAGCGGTCCCGTTGGTAATAAATCCCCGCGAATATTAGCATGTTGAGGATGAGCAGGAGACATCCCACGCCCACTGTGACGCCCAGGGCGGCAGTGTAGCTGCTTCCGGGGAGACAGCAAAAAATTGGTCATATTGTGTAATGGGAAGATTGTGTTGCAGACATGCCGGAAAATTCACAAAATGACCATTTTAGTTGGCCCGCAAGGAGGCTCTTCCATTGCTTCGCTCACGTGAATTCGCTTTTTTCCACCTGTCCATCCTCTGTTATGCCACAAAAGGGTGGACAAGTGGCGCAAAGTGATCAAAGTTACATAAAGTAATGAGAAAATATTGTAAACATGTTGGATAAAAGGACTCCTTTACTATGCAATTTATGCGATTTATTAGCTATTTTTATAATTAAACCCGAGTGTCACTGATCTTGACATTTTTCGTGATTAAGTCTTTTAATGAGAGTGCTTTTCGTCCTTTGATGATGAAGATATCAACATGGATTTTATACAATTTATACGTTCTGGGAATGGCAATTAACTAAAGTCCTCTTATTTGATGAGAAATACAGGAATATTTCGCGCAAAATTATTACAAATAGAAATAAATAGTAAAAGCATCAAATTTCCACACTGATGAGCCTCTTTCCTCGTCACCCATTATTGTGCTCAAAAAGGAATGTTTAACGAATATCTCGTGAGGAATGTGAATGAGGAATTTTCATAATTTCCATGGGATTTGTTCGTTTTTTTGCACATTTTATGCGCAAAAAAGTGAATAATCTGATGAATTTTTGCAGTCACACGGGAACAATGCGGAGGACAGAAAGAGTGGAAAATTCACTTGTTTTAAATGGCCAGCGTGAGGTGGGCATTTACCTGTAGTAGTGCTTCGAGGCGAGCTTCTGCAGCAACTCCTCCTCCTCGTCGGCAGAGAGTGTGGTGTCCTCTGTGTCCTGGAGTGCCTCGCCGAGGGTAGGATCCGGCGTGCACTCGGGATTGAAGTTCTCCTGGCGCGACTCCTGCACGCCGCTAATGTCAGCCGGGAAGGGGATTTTGGGCCTTGTGAAGGACTCAGCTCGCACGGCTCCTGTCGATGCGTTGCAAATTGCCAGTGAGACTCTGACGGTATGAATATGCATGCCCAGTGGACACTCACCTGCATAGTAACTCGGATCACGCTCCCTAAAGTGATGGTGACGCATGGAGACTTCGGGATCGCCGGGCTGATGGAGCTGAGGAATGAGATTGAGCCACACTGACATCTTATGGCCTCGATAGTGACTCTTCATTTTTGGCTTGAGGGCTGCAAAGGCAAGCAGAGACTGTCGTGAGGGGACTTTCCAAGACATTTATCATTCCTCCCGAGGATGGCTTTTGCGACAGGAGTCCGCCTAATGACCATCTCGGACGGTGGATCAGCCGAAGAGGCGCAGAAAGGGGATGAATGAGGACTTTGGCGCTGAGCTTTAAGCTCTATGTGGCGTCAATTGGGTGACAAATTCGCCCGGAAGTGAGACGCAAGTGAAAAGTGGCCATCAATGAGAATGTAACTCACACACAGCTTCAGCAATTAGTGGAACGAGTGGCGCATTGGCTGCCGGCCAAGGAGGCCATAAGGCAACAGCAAGAAGAATTGCATTTTGCACCCTCTTTGTCTCACACATGATTCACCCCCTTATCTCGACACCCATTTCTCTCCGGCGCACTGGGAAATTCACCACGGCTCGTGGGAAAATCACTTGGCCATTGTTTAAAACATGTATGATATTTAAGTGAAATATTGAATGTGCGCCAGAGGGTGGCAAAATATGCACTTTCTCAGTTCAAATACGTGTGTTGCACTGTGATTTATTAAACAGTCATGCAGAGAGACTCTCAATTTGCCAGCCGGAAGAGCATACACGTTTTTCCGATGCAGTACAGAAGGACGAAAAAAAATATATGCTCAGGAAATATTACAAATTATTTCCAATATATTGGCTGAAAATAATCCAATTAAGTGAAGAAGAGGGGAATTCGCGTGTGTAGACTGGAAAATAATATGATTTTTCATCCTCTCAACAGCAAAAAATATGTTATGCGCGTATCTACTTTTGGTGATTATATTAATAAAAAAAATATGCTAGGCTGCTGCATAAAATCGATGGTTGCACAATTCACAATACTTTTGAAACTTGCGACATGAATTGAAGAATTTAATGTTTATTTGTTTAGATAATGAGGATTATATTCCATCTGTATGTTATTTTGTTATTAACTCATTCATTATACCTTTATGTGGGTTGCCTTCCAATAATACGCCTTTTTAAATACACCTGAGTCAACTTTTTTGTGTGAAACATTGTAAAAATATGCTCGATTTATACAAAATATAGCGTGAGAATTCACAGCTGCATTCGCTTCTCCACAACTCTGTCACTCTCCATGAGCAGAAGGGATGGCCGTCCACCCGGCGCCTCCACTGGTCAGCGGAATATTTTCATTGCAAATGAAAAATTCATCAATTTCGCTCTCTCCATGCATAAGGCAATTGGGACTTGAGCAAATAGATTTGCAGAGACCCCAAATAAACAAGCGGCACACAGTGAGTTCGGGTGTTATTTTTAATTCATCGCCGGCTTTCCCGGGTCAACGGAAAAGCTCTCGATGGTGGCGGTGTGAAAAGAGCTCAACTTACATATGCTGAGGTACTGCTGCGTTGTTGTCTCGTATGTCTCCCAGGTGATTCCACGGTAGCGCGTCCTCTCGCGTGCCGTTCCATAGTCCGGATGGAGCATCGCCTTTTTGGGGTGAGAGTGAATTGTGCTTATTTGGCCGTGAATGAGCAACTGCAGCTTACCTGTTGATGGCCGGCCTCGTTGGGATCGCCAGTCTTGCAGAAATTCGTGACAAAGTTGAGCACCGCCTCGGCCACTCCCATGTCCTGGCGTGAGTAGTTCTGCGGGAAGTTGGGCATTCCCAGTACGAGTGGCAGGCCAAAAATGTAAGGGATGTCCTCACCACGGACGGAGCCGAGTCGCTGGAAAGCAAGAGAGACTCTCGTGGGATTTTTTTCCACTGTACCGAAGCTCGATTTAGTCTTTCGCGAAGGAATTGCGCCATTAATTAAAAAAAGAGGGCGATTGTTCGCGTTATCAGAGGTGAACAAATAGACGCGAAAGCGCAAACAAGGCTTTCATTTAATTGCTATTTGACGAGATTTAATTGCTTCATTTGTATGCCAATGGGGAAAATATTCAAACACTCCGCTGGGAGGGATTTTTCTCAACACCCTTGCTGGCTAAAGTCCCACCCTGGCGGGCTTTGTGTGCAAACCAGGCAACAAGTGTCTGGGCAGTTTTGCGTGATTGAGCTCAATCGATTAAGTGGCCCCCAATCGCATGCTAATTACTCACTTGTGGATATTCCGAGTCCTTGGTCTGGTAGCCGAAGTGGAAGAGGTACGTCTTGGCGCCTCGGCGTGCGTGCAGATATCCAGTCTTGATGAGAGGTGCAACAGTGTGGCCATCACTCAAGGCTTCCATCGTAGAGTCCCTGTTTTGTGAGGAGAAAGAGAGAAAAGTTGTTGAAAGAACTTTCTCCCATCGAATCTCCATTGACAAGGGAAAGACAAACACCACAAAAAGGACAATTGCTCAAGTGCTCTGGCGAGAAAGGATGCTTTCATGCAAAGTGGCATCGATATAAAGATTGTGTTCGAAGCTCGTCTTTTATTTATTGAAATGATAAGAGAGAGAAAAGTATGGAAAAGTTTCCCAAGAAGCACTTTGTGCAGTGATTAAAAATGAGCAAATGCCCGAGTGCCTTATATGAACTTTAAGAAGCCTCAGAAGATGCAGTATAATATATAATCACGCCATTAGTAATTTTCTCCATGTTCAGAATGGAATAAGGAGCTTAACATTGTTTTTCAGGGTTTCAAATCTCACAGTGCTTTAGGCTAAGAGCTTGAACTTGCCGAATATTGATGGGATGCTGAATGGGCTTGTCCCAGTCCGTGTACTCATTCCTCACGGCCGAGAAGATCTCATTGAGGTGGAACGTGAAGGCATTCCGAATGTAGGTCCTCAGCAGGCGATTCCGCTGCTCCTCCTCGAGTCCGTACTGAATATCCGCCGCGCTGAAGTCATTGTAGCTCTCAGTCGTGGTCATGCCGATCATCAGTTCGCTGGTGATGAAGCCCTCGCTGCTGTGCTCCATGGCGGCCTCCGGGTCCATGCCGTCCTCCAGGGGTAGCGTCGGTCCCCACGATGGCATGAACCTGCACGGAAAATTGTGTCACGCTCCTTGGATGCAGATAAGCCCCCAATCACGTATTCCATAGCCATTCCCATTAATGGGGTGGTCGTCTTAATGAAAAGCCCCATGAGTGATTGAAATCTGGGACGTCTTTCATGGCAGCAAATGCCTTTGGATGATTCGCAAACAAAACAGACCCGCCCCCCAGGCGAAGGTCCTGAATCAATTTTCTGGGCACCAGAGCCCCGATCAGATTGAGATGGAGATATGTGTGTGGATGGGGATGTAACATTAATTAAATTGCCAGATGAATCCTGTTGAATTTCAATTAAGGTGGCACAGCTCTTGAAAGAAATCCACCCTCTGGGCGCGCACTCATTAAAAAGATATTTCTACAAGGCGCCCACTTCTACTCAATTATTGACAAAATTCCTCCAATTCAGGCCCAGACCAGGCAACCTAATATTGTATTAATTGTGAAGCAAAACGGAGGGCTTCATCAAAAAGGCATTCCTCAGCGCTCGAGTGGTATCGCATGAAAAATAAATGTATATAGGGCTTCTAAACAAATTGCAAATTAAGGACAAAACCACCCACAGTCGCTGACTGCCAAGGAAAGTGTTGAGGAATCCATGCTTAATTAAGCATTTATATGAATTGGGGCGTCACTTTTGGCGGAATCGCAATCTGTTGAAATGCTCGGCGATTTATTGAAAAGTCTCAAAGTGTAATACTCACCTCACCGTCTCCAGTCTCACGCCCATGAGCGCCTCGAGAGGCTTCGATTTCAGACACTCACTCACATCCTCAGTCACGTCCTTGGCATTCCTCTTCACGCCACTCGTGTCCAAATGGCAGGCCATTTGCTGGGATACTTCTTCACGTACGCGATCGGGGTTGGGAATAATTGCCCATGGACTCAGCGCTGACCCACTTAGCAGGATGGCTCGATGGGCGAGACCTGGCCAAAGGAAATCACTTGAGGTATTTGTGCCAACTTATGTGAGACAGAGGAATTTCGGCCACTGAGACAAAGAGGAATTTATTGAGGAATGCAGTAGATGTCCGTCGATTTCAAGTGACTGGAAACCAAAAGGAATGCGCTTAACCAGATTGACAAACTCTCTGATTGGCAGAGAGTTTTTGAAATATGGACAAAATTAGGTTTACAGCCACAAAATCCTCTTGAAAAGCAGTTCTCAACTGAGAATATGTGAAAGTTTCATCCATATGAACATGCAACGTTTCATGTGTCGTGTTCCGAGCACAATATTGATGAGTTTTTGCATAAATCACGAATGAAATCAATATTATTCTCTCGAGTAGTGAATTTACTAACAATTTTCCATTCTAGACAGAAAAAAAATCATGGTGAAAACATGAAAATCTTCTGCGTCTAAGAATAAGTGAAATAACAAATTAAAGTCTTTGTCGATTTAGCGATAAAATGCAATGTGAGGGTTTTGTCGAGGAGTTTTCTATTTCTGTGTGTTTCAATTTAACATGGAGGATAAAAGGTAGGATTTTAGAGTCTCTTACGGATTCTCTCTGTCCGCTGGTCAAGACTAAGAGTGTGCTAAATATAGATCTTCTTGAAAGCTTAAAGTGTCTCTGTTGGTTTTAGTGTTTTCGATGTCTAGAGATATCTCTTTGATACTCTGGGGGAATTACAGAGGTGGAGAACAAGGGACTTAGCAGGAGCTTCTGTTTCTAATGTCTCCTCAATGGTTCATTCATACAGAATTCCTCTCTTGTTCTCCCCTCGTCGTGTGTTTCTGTGTAGCAAGAGAATTTCGTCGGAAGCATTCCTCCTTATCCAACATTTCTGCACATAAAAATGCCGCTTCTTCTTTTATAGAAAATTCCACAAATTCCACCCAATTTGTGGTGACTAGGAAGGCTCACCTTTCGAAGCCTTGGAAATGAGCACCAAATTTGCGAGAGCCGCGCCAGTGTCGTGACCAACAATGGTCAGCCGACTGGGATCGCCGCCGAAGGCCGCAATGTTATCGCGTGTCCATTGAAGGGCGGCCACGATGTCGAGGAGGGCGAGATTGCCCGCCGGCGAGTTGGCTCTGGTCCTGATGAAACCTACAACAAGGGCACAAGGGATGAGTTGGCTCGAGAACATACGTTGTCAGGGTGGGAGCGTAATGAGAAATTGCCGAGTTCAAAAGGAATTTCAAATATGCTGCAAACACCAATTAGAGCACATATGAGTTTGCCTTCACTTCATCATCTTGCGACATTGAGCGATGCTGCTTCCGTGGGTGTTTTGGGGAGCGAAAGCACCAAAGGAATGGCATAATAACCCAATATATTAATTGTTTGTACTGCCACGTTTCGAACGCGCTTCTTCCCCTTCGCATCGCGAAATTCCCTAGATAATCAGTGGTGAAAACAATTTAGAAATTTTCAACAAGAGAGAGAGAGGCATTTCAATTTGCCAGCACACCCGTTTCTAATGAGTGAATTACATTACGCCAAGCCACCCTTTCAGGTGAATTGGCTTGAGCGGGTGCAAAAAATGGATTTATCGTGGAAATTTCCGCCTTCATATCAGACATTGCCGGCGGCGGCGGTAAAAAAGAGTTACTCAATGGCATGTAATTTAATATCGCAAGCACCGTGTGAGTGAATTGTTTGAGTTTGTGTGGGAATTACTGGCTTTTTCCACCACCCACCCGCTCGAAAGCTCTGCATGTGTTGCGACCAAAACGCCATTTAACACGATTATGTCAATGTTTGTCCTCTCGCACATGAACTCGTTTTTTTCTCACTGGACTTTTATTCTTTTTTGCTCGCGGAAAAATATGACAATTCAGCGTAATAAATGAGTATTGGAGCAAAAACTTGCTGGATGAGTAATTTTACATGAGTGGGAAAGCTGAGCTTTCAATTACGCATATAGACTTGTATCGTGCGCCTCCAGGGTGCTTAATATTTTATGGAAATGATAAAATTTGTTATGAATTCATTGGGGATTTTTAGAGAATGTCGCTATCATTGCCATGGAATTGATTTGAGCAAATGTATTGATTGCTTTAGAGACGGAAATGAAATGGTTTCGGAGGTAAAAGTTGTACATTTCAGTCCTTTCTTTTCACTATAGTATTAAAGTTAAATCATAAACTTTTCTATGGATATCCGATAGAGATTAAATCTTCATTGAAGCGTGAATTTATGGAGTTAAATTAAACTTTTGTAAATTGATCACTAAACTTGCATATTTACACTGGGATGTACAAGTTTTATTGAGGAACAAAGTCAAGCTGAAATGCTATCTTTAGTGTATCGGGCTGCAACCCAAAATTCACCTCTCAATTAATTCTCCCAGGACAATGTTAACCTCAAACAATTCTCAAGTATTTACAACTGGAGCAAGAAAACAAGACTCTTACATTTAACCAACATAAGATTCTTCACCCGTGAAGTTGCGAAAGTTTTCCCCAAAAGCATCGGGTAAATTTCTTAATCTGTTGCAGCTATAAATTACGTTGAAACAGTGCTTAGTCTGTGGTGGAGTTGAGAATTAAAAGACACATGTAAGCATTGGAAATGTATCGGGTTTTGGCTTGATTTCCCTTGGTGAGTTCAAGTCAAAATTGAATTTAGACCAATTGAGCGATCATGGGTGGAACTTACCGAGAATTCCGAGGCGATAATTGACTGTAATCACGATAACGTGACCGTAGCTTGCCAACACGGAGCCATCGTATGGATTTCCGGAGCCCCACTCGAAAGACTCGCCGTGGACGTAGAAGAAGACCGAGTACGGTGCTTCCAGGCCGCGATTCCCTGCAATGAGTGGAGGTTTAATTAATTTGTGTGTTCCATCATTAATTTGCCAGCATATTTAAATGCAAAATCAACACTCTTCACTATGGAAAACCTATTTTTGCCAAAGCCACACTGTGGAGCTCATGGTAAACATACAAAATGTAAATTTAGTCAAATAATGTAATTATTAATTGCAAACCACACAGCTAAATCCAATGCAATAATTATATCCACCCAAGCCGCACGCCCAGGGACACAGTTTCCTAAAAACCCAATGCGAGTTTATGTGCGATTTACTGCCAGAGTGCATAACACACATAACAGCTCTATAGTGGGAATTATGACGAATTTGGTCACTACACCAAATTGATTGTTATTGAAAATGATTCAATTCAGAACCAATATTTGCCATTGACCATTGCCCAACTCACAAATAAATTCGTATAGTATTTGATGATGCTATAGGGGTATTTTAGTACATAAACAATTTTGCATTTACAAATGCCCCTCAGCGTGAGTTGTTTTAAAAGCATAACAATATACGTATAATGATGATTTTCAATAACCTGTGTACATTTTAAAACGTCTCAATTCTCTTGATAAATTAGCTAATTACTTCACATTGATCCTATATAGATTGCGTCAGTTCAACACAACAAACACATTTTTGCCTTGTCCAAAAGCAAATATGCTGATGGTGAACTTTATGCTGCTGCTGCACCAGCTAGGAAACTCTCCATGGGCCAAAACTCTATTCCCCATTGAATATAATTCACAATTGTGATGAGGAAAATTTAAATATCATCTATGCAAATTAGTCTCTCATAGTGAAATGGAATTCCCATGCATTACACCAAAATTAGCTCCATTATTTCCCATGCATATTCATAATTAAAATAGCAATTATTATTATGGCAATCTTCATTACACATGATGATGTTTTGAAGCATGAAAAAAAAGGTGGAAATGTTTTCGCAACACAGAATTAATTCTTCCAATATATAATTATTCGTCAAAGTACTCCTTTATCGCAGAAACTATTTCAATATTTTTGTGAATATTTGCATAGCAACATTGGGTGTATAATATTCAGTACAACATTTTGCCACAAATGTTGCGCTCAGGAAAATGGATTCGAATTTGCATAATTGTATTGAAGATCGTTGGATTTTCCACGTGCACCGCAATGTACGCGTCTCGTGGGATAGACAGACTATATTGTCAAAAGCTCTCGCTTCTTCAGCATGAAGCTCCCATTGAAGCGCAATTTGGAAAGTTTTTGACTTAATTTTGATAGTTTTTTCCGCGTTGGTCGCTTTAGGGATGGCTTTTGCGCGGAAAAGCAGAGGAAATTATAGCTGAATCAATATTACATCGGTTTTATGAGAAGTTTTAATAGCGCCTATTTTTTTTGAAGCTCTCTAAAGTTTATTATAAAACTTAGTAAGCCGCTATGCAATTGAAGAAAGGAATAAACTGTAGAAGAATATAATTTGAGATATAACATTATTTAGATTGTACAAATGTACTTTGTTATATGAAGAATAATTAAGATTCTCGCAAAATTCTGCAACTCTTTCAAGCAAGTTTATCCCACATGTTTTCACACATTTAGAGTTGTTATTCACAATCGTTATAAGTCATTATTTCTAACAAATATTCTCCTGCTGCTGCATTAGAAACTTCCAATTAAATCAGTTCACGTTTTGTAGTTCACACTTCAAAGCAATTATTCTAATAACGACGCCATGTTGTCCTGAGACCAGCCAATTTGACTCTAATTGAAAGCAATTATAACTGCAGTGGTCATTGTTAGCATTCTTGTGCCATACTTGGGGCTTCTTGCAAAGTCTATTGAAAAGAATACCACATTGACCGATATTGTCATGAATTTCTGGGAGGCAATTTGCATGGCTGAAAGACACCCAATGTAAACCGAGCCAATTTAGTCGCTGCAGGGCGTCACGGTGTTTGCTATTATGCAACTGGGGTAATGTGGTTGAAATTGATTTTCCGGAAAAATCTATTATTCATGTCAAACACGCTTCATCGAGATGTGCTTGGATTTTTCCACCCGAATGTGCCTATGACACAACTTGTATTCCCCCCAGTCAGTCATTCAGTCATGAAATATGCCTCAAATGCATCAAATGATGAGGCATAACTTTCACCCATTGCACAATATTTTGCTCTTCGGGGACTATTGAATTGTGCAGGAAGCTGTTTTTCCAGTTTCAACCATGTCTGACAATCAAAAGTGGCATAAATAACCGGAAGAGGCATATATTTCGTGACATTGGAGCCAATGTTTTATGTGTACATTCCCAATAAATCCACTCTGGGTGGCCCCAAACTCTGGTGGAGAGCATCGTAACAGATCCCAAAATTATCACATTTTGAATTTATTATTGATACTCCCGGAGGGGAAAAGTCGAGTGCTCTTTCCTTTTCCACTCATCACGTATTAATTCGATGGAATTTATGGGTGTTACAATAAAATGCGACGCGATGGGTCATTTCGCCACTTCAATAAAATCCATTATATTTACCAATAAATTATTGGATGACGCAGTGCTAGACTATCTTCAAGCGAAGTTGAGCGTTTTGGGCTTTTTACTATGTTTACACAGTGTACGTGCATTTATCGCTAGAGTTTCCATTGAGATTCCATTAAAGATACCTATTTAAAGATTACCCTTGTTTACATGGTTCAATAATTTGGTAGAATTTTCCTTCGAATTTTCCCCATTTTCTCCTAGTTTACGCGATATTCTTTTCCACTCTCTCTCACTCACCGGAAATATTAGATTGAACCGGTACACGGACCGACAGTCAAGGTGGGATGATGATAAAACTGTTGAGATATGAGTCCGTGTATGCTTCCTGGCAAGGAGCTTCGTGAAACTTGATGGGAATTTTGTATGATTCTTCGGATAAAGTTGCCTAGGTGAGGTGTTGGGAGAGAGGAGAAGGGAAAAATGGGCCAAAGGAGGTGGCAAAGAGACGAAAAGTTGCTCGAGGATGTGTTCTCGAAAAGCTTCGCTGTGGGGATTTTCTGCAGAGGCAAAGTTGGTGGTGTGTTGAGCTTTTTTTTCTCCCTGAGCATTCTCTCCCTCTTGTTTCACTTTTATGGCACAGTCGTTCATTCCACAATCCCAGTGGCGAGGAACATTTCACCTGGGAATTCTCTCCGCGTGAGTTTGGGAAAAGTTAAGTTGTTCGGCGCAACAAAGAAAAGTTGCACTTTCTTCTCCAGCGACACCCACACTCCACCACCGTCAACACTTTGTGGGTGGTAGAGACTGGCCAGTTGATCGATCTCATCCATCTTCAGGGCTCACCACGAGGTCACGTGACTTTTTGCCCCACAAATTACATCCCTATTGATTCGACGAACAGAGAGCTTTTATCTGTCTCGCCCGGAGCTTCTGCCACCCACACCGTGTGTGTGTGTGTGTGTATGCCAATAAAATGATTCTGTGGCCATTTGCAAGAAATATTAACACAAAGTTGACTTAATTGCAGATAATGGTGGTCAAAGTGAGTGGAGAGCAATTAGAGAGGTCTCTGTTTGCCCTGGCATTAAAGTTAAAGTGACATCCACTCACACTTAATTTACGAACATATGAGAGTGGGTGGAAAACACCACTTACAGCAATATTAAATTCCATCCACATTAATTGCGAACCACCCCACGATAGTGCTTTATTTAATCCCAACTTACTGTATAGAAAAAAAACAGTATCGCAGCTTGATGAAAAGCTAACAGAAAACCGCTGGAGATGCAATGCTCCGGGGAAATACGGGAAAAAGCACCACGATTTGCGCCATGTGCAAGTAAGCATGAGCAAATTCAGCGGCAGTCATTAGATACACCAATGAAAATAGCAATTCTTGCTATAACGCCAACTTAGCTGTATCTTATAAATCATCCCTGCGCTGAGGATTTAATTCACGATGTGTAATAAAATGCTCTTCCTACTCACCACTGCCGGGAACGTAGATGTTGAGTGTGAGGCAATCTTCGCTCTGATTCACAAGAAGCGGAATGACCTTCTTCAGATACTGATATCGTCCTTTTGGCATCGACATTAATGCGGCACTTCGATTTGCAACGTCTGGATAATTCTTCAGATAGCAAAAGAATGGGAGAAGAGATATAAAATTAGACAAATGACTCTTCTCAACTTTTATTGCGGGCTATTTTTTCGGCATCATTCCTCTACCCAAAAGAGCCTTTCACCGAAGTAGAATGTGTGAAAATATATCGCTGAGAATTTACTCAATGATTGCATTTATTGACTCTTCTCTGCAAAATCTCAACCGTCGTTCTGGCATTTTGTGTTTGTGAGACTTTAAAATTCTCTGTAATTCTTTGCTGACAATTGGAAAAGTTGTCCCATTTCAAAACTTGCTGCACTATCAAATAAAAGGCCAAGGAATGAGAGTTAAGCTGGAAAATTAGAGGATTAGCGTTTACCAATGTTAATAGGACTTGTTTGAAAGTTTATGCTTTTCTTGCAAATAAGACTCTAGGTAGTTTCCCAGAGTTAGTCTCACATTTTCTGACTTATACATTGCATAGATTGTGCTTAACAATGTGCTTAATGGGCAAATTCTTTACTTTTTTTCTAGTTAATTGACTTTTTTAGGTCTGATTTCCAGCCAATTGCATTAACCGTGTATGAAGATGAATAGGTGATGGAGTGATGTCGATAAATGCCCATGATCGGTGGCAAGAAGTCTCAGAATCTGACCTACCTGGGGACACACAGGTGCGAATGTGTCTGCGAGTTTCGTTCCACTCCAGGGGATCAATTTGCGAGGTGGCGCGAAGCGATAGGGCCCGATGGGGGCAGCGGCGTATGGTACGGATTTGAACACCTCAACCGGCTCGAGGTGTTTGGAGTTGAGTTCGAGGATGACTCCGCGAATGGCGCCGGACTTTGTCTCGACGATTCGCGAGCTGTAGCGCGGCGCAGCGGCCACGGACGCTAATGTGACGACGAGGAGGCCCACGAGTTGCCACAAGGGGCCCCCGGCGTGGTGAGCTGATATCGGCCCGACTGGGGCCCGCATCGTACTCTACAATGTCCTGAGGGGATCATCACTGGCCCCCAGCATAAGGAATGCTTGTCACGCGAAGTGCCGCCCCTGAAGTTCTGGATGATCTCAAGTCTGGACGTCTGGCATTAGCTCAGCGGAGATGTTGAGCGGCTCATGGTGGAGCTGGAAGATTGCGGTCAGTTAGTCAACTTTATAGCGCACATTCATCAATTATTTACATATATGGAAAAGTCCTCACAGTTGGATAATACGCACTATACGGAATGTGAATGAAAGCTCTACATTGGCACTTCGTGGGCGTTTCCCGCAATTTTCCCTCAATGCCATTGTGTCATTGTGGCAAAATGTTGGCGGAATCAATCAAGTGGAGAGCGAATGAGTCAGTGATTGCTGTACAAAAACTCGATAACACTAAATCATGCAGGTGAGTGCATCAATCAGTTGTACAGCAACGTGTCCGGTTGCCTATGTTTGAATGTCAAACTAATAGCATTCGCGAGGGTGTTCCACACCCTAATTGGGTGGAGAATGCGAAACTTAAAACTGGGCTTCGCCCATCCCACCCCATCACCAATTGCAATTTATTCACAATCTCCCCGTGACAGGACGGGCGAGTGCTCAAGCGATGGGCGTGCGGGGGAGCATGTGTGCCACATGGGAGCATGATAAATTATTCCTTTCTTTTTCCTCGTGTGTTGCGCGCATTGAATGGCTGTGACAGTGGGTGAGAAAATACGGATTTGCCCACCCAGGCACACACATCTTCAAACTTATGAGCTTTCGGTTGAGTGTGCAATCGGTCCAGGGTACCATTCATTTTTGATTTCTACTAAGTGGATAATGGAATCGGTGCATGAATTATTCGATGGGCGTGACAAATGCCTCAGCTCACACCCAAGCTTCTCTTGCAGGCTCTCCTAATAAAATTTATACCTTCTCCAGCTTTTCCCAGGAAAGCTCTCTTGGTCGAACAGGGTGGAAAAAAGCCGGATAAGAGGGCGAGTGAGCTCCAGTCGAGAGCTTTGGCTGCCTTCACACTTTATCAAAAGCTCTCTTAAAGCCAGACACTTAATGAATCCAACACAGAAATTGGCATCAAGTCACAGACATTAAAAATGACTTTAAGCCAAATCACACATAGTCTGAAAGCATTTCTGAATTCATTCTCAAACATTGTGATTCACCCTTGGCGTGGCATTCTTCTCAAGTATCTATGGAGGATTTAGTGTAGTGAAAATAATACTATTCAGTGTATGAGGCGAGAGAAAATGGGGTTCTTAGAGGGCGCAAAGAAGTTGAAATTGTGCCATTTTTACGGCACAGCAAAAGGGGGGAATGAGTGGAGATATTCAATTGAGACACATGTAAAATATTCTCAGCGTCGCTCCTTCGCACACAATCGTTCCCATAATGGGGATAAATGGAGTGAAAATTTCCAGTGAAAAAGCCCCTCTTTTACGGGGAGCCCCAAAATCTCTGTGTGGGGATGAGCTTTTGGGGGGGTGGCATGAATTTAGGGTGTTGGTTGAAATTCATTAAAAATATATTCATGTAAATATCGTCATCATCATTGTACTGACTCTTATGACCTCGTGGGATGTCAAAGGGACTCGGGCCCCTTTTCCAGGATGCGGGGAGACATTTCCATTTTTACGGACTTCACCTTCCACTATCATCCCCGGCGTCCCCCATGAGAGCTCAGCCAAATGGCAGCTGAGGATGGAAAATAAGAAAGTCATGTGTATGATTTGCCTTTTGAATTCAGCGCACGCACCATTTTTCACAAGGATCTCGTACAATTTCTCATGGCAATATTCACCCATTTTTGCCAATAGATCCACACACACACACGCGCGCAACATGTCCCGTGGAACTCATTTGGTATTCAAAGAAAATATTTTCTACCACATTTTCCACCAATGAACTTATAGTGTAATTTCCTTCCATCCAGGAATATGAGTTGATATGCAGCGAATGTGGAGGGAAAAGTTGAGAACTTTCATCGCAAATGGAGGTGTTAAATTTACTGAAAAATACCACCATTAAACGGTGTGAATAATTGAATATTTTATTGGAAAGTTTCTCTGGGACATTTGAAACCCTTTCCTCGCGCTATTTGACTTTCCAAAGGGAAGAGGAGTTTTTCGCGCGCTCCCCGAATTGTCGACAAAGTTGCCTTCTCAATTTTCACAAGAGAGCGGAAAACTTGGAATTGCGCCTGTGATTATTTGGCAGATTTGGAGGCTATTGCTTTGATTGACGATATCATGTTTTAAAAGAGGGTGAAACGCTTGGTTGTATAGTCAATGAAGTAGTTCAGAAGTCTTGGGGAGAGAAAGAAAAACGAGAAGAAATGGATTTAAATTGTGTTTTCGCTGATCTCAAGAATTTACAAAAGTTCAGAAGATTTAGTCACAAATTTAACCTGAAAATTATTAGAATCAAATATCATAAATCGCTAGCATGGCGTAAAGTAATCCAATTAAATATGCTTTTACAGCCAAAAGAAGCTAAAATCCCAATTTCTGATAACCTACTTAGGAACCTACAACACAACTTTATATATTCTCTACCTCTGACTCAGTCCTAATCATGAAAAATAAACGCTAAACTCGAGACGAAAAGCTCCTATTAGGAATACCTTCACGTGAAGCCCACCAACTAAGCCGCAATTTAGTTCCCTGTTGGCAAACAGTGCTGCTAAATTGCAGACCTGCACAAGTGAATTGCGATATTGGGCCACACCTGCCTCAGTCCAGAGTCACGTACTTGGCCGAGGAAATGAGGCAATTAATTAGAAAATTATAGGGCCTTCGACGTGCACCATCAGGAATCTCACTGTTTTCCGCACCAAGAAAACTGTGTGGGTCTTTTGGGGGGGTGCTCAGCACGGCCGTACTGGTCAAATTAAATTTATTCATGATACTCCCCGACTTCCCTTCTGTTGCTTTTTAATTTGACGCCTCACGCCAGCATTTTTAATGTCCTGGCGGAGATTCGGAGGGTGGGAACAATGGTAAAATATAAGGGTGGGTGAATTTTATTTTATTATATTGCGATGAAAGTGTGTTTGTGTATGTTTAATTCAGGAAAAAAAGAATCCGTCGTCATTTCTAATCCCAGGAACTTGGGAGAGAGAGGAAAAAACCCCTGCCTTGAATTCTCAAGTGCGGGGATTTGGATTTTGTATTGGATTTCGCGAGAAGTGCGTACACAATAAATAAATCTCTCACTCAGTTTCCCAAACGAGAATGTCAGCCCTTCTTTTGCAGCGCCAAATTGAAATACATCAAGAGATGTGGTTGGGAAAAAAGGCACATTGTGGTATCTTAGCGGAATAAAATTCAATTTATTTCCTCTTTTCCACCACCCCCGCCAACCCGCAGAACACTCGGAAGTTAAATAATTTATTTAATTTGTTGAATATAATTGAGCCGAGGACGGAAGAGTCCGACCACATCCTCGGCATTGTGTGCTTTTTTAAAGGTACGGAAGCTCCGTGATAGATGGAGGTCAGTGGCTAAGGAAAAAGTGAACCGCCAGAATGGGATTTTTCCTCTCCCGCACATTTTGGGTCACTGGTCGTTATATTCAAGGGTCATCACCTCATATAAATTCCGAAACTCATGACACTTTCACCATAATTCCCATGAATTCTCTCTCTCTCTCTCGATTACACTCTTCCTCCCATTGAAACTTTCATTTCATCCCCCAACACGCGCTGCCCCAATATCTCGCAGATAATCGACTTTAAATAGAGGAGCAATATAGAGAATGAAATTTGTGTGGGGTGGACTATTGAGGGGTGTATTTGAGCCACGGGATAGGATATAAAAGAATCAGTTCTGCTTCAAGTGTGGTGGGTTCATCACTCGATTTATCTCGGGGAATTTTATTTTACAACCAGCAGGGGAGGATCGAGGAATTTCCACGGGAAACTCAATGGAAAAGTTCCATGAGATGCATCGACCCAGTTTCGCAAAAACCAATCTATGCACATTTCTCACAAATAAGTTGCTGAACAACTTTGGCAGATTGAATGAAGCATATGTCCTTAATCTACTCAATATTATTAATATATTAAAGCATCCGCCTTCAAATCTCAGGCAAATCGCTCGCTTGTAAGCCCACAGCAATGCCCAATTGTATCCTAAAGCTATCAATCAAGGTAACGAGTCCCACTTTGGCAATTGGTGGGCCCCCGGGGCCCCATTTCCGTGTGAATGAGATGAGAGTACACACACACACACTCCTCTGGCAAGACCAACGAAACATATTTAATGAGCTCCATCTCCTGCTGCTAGTCGTGATAAAATCGCAGCTGGTGAAAAAGAGAGCACGGAGCCTTCCACACGACATCCTCTCTCGCCCACAATTTACCTTTTCCTCCCAAATTACTCGGCCACCCCAAAATTGCCATCCGACACGATTTTGCGGTGTTTCGTCACCGGAGCCGGAGACGATGAGTAAACAGGAAGAGCAAAATCACTGTGCCTTGCAGATTTATGTCCTTCACGTGCTCCACCGTGTTTCTCAAATCTCCCCATTGGGCCTCAATGGCGGTGTTATTCTACTTTATTGACCACTTTATCGAGTCAACAGGGGGAGGAGCTTCCAGTGCCCCGAAGAAATATTGGGAGTCCTCCTGGTGGGTGACAGGGGAGCTTTTTTCAATTACCCCAGTACGATTGTATCACTCCTTTTCCTGACTCCCATAGCGTCACTCTTGTGCCAATTTTCTGCCCATTTTCCGCCCCCTCCACATCATGGGAAAAAGGGCAGCAGCTTTTCCTAGAGGTGAGATCTAAGGGATAAATTAACGTGCAAACATTTCCAACTCCATAAATTTTCCCAACACCTTGAGCCATTCCGCCGGGAGGGCGGAAAAACTGTAGTTCTCACAATAACCAATTCCTCGGACGCATTTTCGTTGAGATCGCCAATGGAAAAGTCCTCTCCACGAGGCTAAAAGTACACCATCATTTTACAACAAATCACCTCAATTGCTTATGTTGAGGCACAGAAGGATGAGTACACCATTTCCGGTGAATTTCCGCCCTCTGGTCGGAAAGGGTGCGGCGCTCAAAATAGATTGCAAAACTTTCTCCACGACGCATCGTGTGTCGAAAGTGTGGAGTAAAATCAAAAGTTTTGCAAGCAAACATTTGGGGGGATATTTGGCGCCCAATTTCATTTCACAGACACTCCCCAATCCCCCCTCCCCCCAAAGTCGCACCCAGGCAGGGTGAAAGTTTTCCTCAGCAACACGACCGTGATTAATAGAAGTTATCTCTGAAGAATGGATGAGTTGTGATTCAAAAATCACACATTGAAACATTTCGGTTTTTCAACTGCACTTTTTTTCTTTTACTAAATTCAACACATCGTGTGTCTTAAAATTAAACTGAATAACAAAAACAGATCTATTCTAATAGAAGAAAATGCCTCATTAACTTTACGTTCACGAATAAAACAATTGTAAAACCGTTTATAAATTGTGAGGTTTGCAAGTGTTCTAAACATAAAGTTGTCTGACTGTCTCGGGTTCAGGGGAAAATGAGTGCCACGAAATTCAATAGTGAGACAAAGGTTTGGAGTCGAAGTGGAAGTGATCCTCCAAGTCCAATGTTTCATGAGAAAGTCACCATTGGAAGAGCCATTCTGTACCTTCTGAATCTGCGACCAGAAGCCATTTGCCAGATCAGTGCTGACGATGGAAGTGAAAGATGCAACGGGGAAATCTATCACGACACTCTGAAGATCGCCCTCAATCTGCAGAGAAATGGGTGCGCGAGGAACGATGTCGTGAGCTTCATCTGTAGGAACAGTCACAGCCTGACTTCGGCTGTTCTCGCAGCATTCTTCTTGGCAGCTCCCGCGAGTCCAATGGACACATACTTAACCAAAGGTAAAACACACGTTTTTCTCTCCGGTATTCAACTTAAACTGCCGATTTTTGCAGATGAAATGTCACTTCTAATGAAAACAACAAGGCCGAAGTTTATTTTCTGTGATGACGACATTGCGGATAAAGTAAAAAACATCGCTTCGGAGATAAATAGCAACGCTGTAATTATTGTATTGGGAGAAAGAATACCAAATGTTTGTCATATTGACGACTTTCTGAAGGAGCCCGTCAATTTCAAATCTCTGGCTAAAGAGATTCTGATGAACCCTCCGGAAGTTGATGCAAAATCATGTGCAATTATAGCTTGCACGTCTGGAACAACGGGTTTTATCAAAGGTGCAGCAATATCGCATGAAAAAATATATCGAAGTTTCTGTCTTCCATTTATGAACCGATTTGTAAAATCCGGAGATACAATATTGTGCTTCTATTCTATTCACTGGGTTAGTGGATTTGCATCAATGTTAATGGGAATGTTCTTAGGTTTGAAACGTATCATTACAAAAATACCCTTCAATCCTGAACGATTAATTGATATTGTAAAGGAATTCAAGGTGAATTTCCTTCTGGCATCTACTGGTAGTACAGTGCAGTTAGTTTGCAGTTCGAACTTGACAGAGGATTCCCTGTTTAGTGTCAAATTTTACGTCTGCATAGGAAGTTTGATTTCTAAGGAGTTTTCAGATAAATTCAAGCCTTATCTCAGGAACGGAATATTCTTCACCGGATACGGACTGACAGAATGTGGGAGTGTGACTCGTGTGTCAAAGCCTTTAACCAAAACTAATGTGGGCTGTTTAATGGAAGGAGTCCAAGCTAAGATCGTGGATGACAACGGCAGAAAGCTAGGTATCGAAGAAGATGGAGAAATATGCGTCCAGACTCCGGAACAATTCTTGGTAAATTCATATTCTGGCGTGTTATATTAATTTTAATTATCCTTTCTCTTTTCATGCTAGGGTTATTATGGCGATTCCAAAGCTACGAATGAAGCTATGGACGAAGATGGATGGCTGAAAACTGGTGATATTGGTCATTTTGACGAGGATGGATTTCTTCACGTCACAGGTCGCAAGAAGGATTGGTTCAAGTACATCTCCTATAAAATATCTCCGTATGAAGTTGAACAGATCCTCAAAAGCTATCCCGGAATCTCCGAAGCTGTCGTCATTGGAATTCCGGACCCAGTTTACATAGAACTGCCAGCTGCTGTAGTGATAAAGAGCGTTCTTTCAATCACCGAAGAGGATCTTATTAAGCTAGTGGAAGAGCAAGTTTCTGACTATAAAAGGCTCCGAGGTGGAGTCTTCTTCCTCAAAGAGTTTCCCATGACAGCATCGGGAAAAATTAGGAGAATGCAAGTTAGAGAATTAGCAATTGATTTATATAAGGAGAAGAATTCGTCTAAGTAAATATGTGATAATGGTAATAACGCTTCAAGGAATAAAGAGCTTCGGGGAAAGGATCCACAAAGGGTGGAATTAATGAAATTCCGAAATGGTCCCGATTTATTCAGCGACCCATTTACCTCTCCTTCCACAGGAGATGAAAGTATACAATTGAGCTCTGGCGATAAGAGACTTTTGCTGACGCATTTCCTATCATCTTGGCAGAAAAGTACACTGAAATTAATTACTTGTCGAATTGGGAGTGTGAGTTTTGTCGATTGCTTACCGGGGGGGGGGGGGGGGAAGAGGGATGAAAGAGCATTCTAGCAATCGATATTCTTTGGGGCGTTTCATATGATTCGAATGGGAATTACAGTGAATCATGTGCAATTTGTGGATCAGAATGCAAAGTTGTATGCATTGCGGAGGTCCTGAAAATCCAACAAGTTGTGTGAACCCTTTTGGGACAATCACTGCAGAGCGAGTCATGTTTATCCAATCTGCTGGCAAGCTCCTGTGCAAAGCTCTCGGATGGTCAGTGACTTGGAAAAAGCTAACGAAGCGGATCATGACGGAATTTTCCGTCTTGAATTTGTCAGCTCCTCCGTACTGACACAGAGGCCCAATTTATATTTTACAGATATCCTCTCTGACCCATCGCAACACGACAAGGGGAGAGAGAGAGAGAGCTTTCTAAATATTCCATGAGAGAGCTTTATACCCTCAAAACTCTTCAGGGGGGATATTCTTTGCCAAAGGAAAACATCCCGACGAGTGTTGTGTGTGGTTTTTTTTTGTAACGTGCAGAAAAATATTCTACTCAAACAAAGAATCTTCTCAAGACCGAAAACGTATCAATTCGCCGGTGGAACACGGTGAAGATGGTGTGCGGAAAAGTGGGTCGCAGGAGAGAGAAAAAGTACAGGCGAGGACTCATAAAGTGAAGTGGAGTGTAAACCCTCAATATTGCCCTCAAGAACACGGCATGGGTATGCAGACTGTCGTAAATACACTCCAACAGCAATTCCTTCATCTGTCCATAAAACACCCCTCCATGAATCACTAAAGACGCCACTATGGAAGTTCACTGCGAGAAGTGTCAGAGTGGGAGACATACGGAAAATGATTGAAAATCATGGCGTTGCTTCCTCTGTTGCGGGGCGAGCACATAGAATTCCATTCTATTAGAATATCCAGGTAATTCCATGTCATTTCCATCGTGACTTCACTTTTGCAGGCGGATTTTTGCCCACCCTCAGTTTCATCGCAATTGTCAGGGGCAGGAAATTACATGTGGTTGCGAGAGAAAAATCACTATCTATGTGGGTGGGCTGTATGAATTCCTCCCACCTGATTGACGGAGAAATTCAAATAAAATTCCATGTCCCAGAATGCGACAAGGGGAGTGAGTTTTCGCAGGCATTGTGCGGGTGGAGGAGGAGAGTCAACAATGCGTGAATTGGGATGGAATGAAGGGGAAAGGAAACATACTCCACACATGACATGGAAAGCTCCCTTGAGAGAGGAAAATTTGACATTTTTCTGTTGAAAAAACACACGATATAGGGAATTTTTTAGAAGTTTCCTCTCCGTAATTAAAATATTCAAAGTCAGCTCGCAGCTTTAAAGTTTAAAGTTATAATGAAATTCACTCAAAGGTCGTGTGAAAATTAATACGACATCCAAAGAACCTCCGTGTAATTCTCATTACTGTGAAAGCTTTCTTGGCTGATGACTAAAAAAAATACCCCAGCAAGTGCCTGTAAAGCAGCGAGAGGTTGGACGAGAGAAACATTAATTAATTCTATGTGTCGCTGAGGCGATATTTCTCTTCTCTGAAGCATCGATAATCCTCAAAGAAATGCCAATACATTATTTATATGTTCGCAGCGTGAAAAATTGATTTGAAGAGCCGAAGCAAATGGCGCAGAATGGGGTCAGTGTTCACACAAACAGCTCCTCTGTTCTGCATATTTTATTCACACACGCGTCGACCTGTCGTGGAAATTTAATCAAGGCCCGAGAGACAATTTAAAATAGAATCTCTCTCTTTTCACCCTCCGGTGAATATTCGTGTTAACATAAACATGTCCAGATACGATAAGGGAGGGAAAAAGCTTAAAGTGCTACTGGCGAAGAGAAAGCTCGCCCCATAAATTCACCGAAGACGACTTTTCCACCCCGCCACTCTCTGTGTTAAAGTGATTTTGTCCACCGTGGAGAAATTGGGGGCTCTAAATATTTTCTTCGTCCGCTCCGAAGGCCACGCGTGGGTTGGGGAAAGGTGATGACACTTTGTGGGGCACTTGTCGGCAGTTCTTTGAGACGCCCACCAATTCAGCCGGACCGATTTGACTGTCCATAAAACGAGGGTGTGCTTCAGAAGGCCAAGGGGCGGGTTAATCGAGCATTAGAGATACACTTCGTGTGGCTAAGTTTCTTCAACACTTGAGATCGCAATACTTGAGTAGAAAAGAATTGTTTTTGTTTTGCTTCTCAACCGCAAATGGTTCTTCAATTTGATTTGAATTGGCCGTTGAAGAGAGAAATTGTTGGAAAAATTCCCATTCCTATATAATCAAAGATGATCATTTTTTTGCTGGATCTCTAGAGATTAGATTCTATATTGCGAATTAATAATAGATAATGAAAAGCCAAGTTTATTTTATTCAACTCAATCTAGGCCATTAACTCTGTCTGCTTAGCAAGACGAGACTAGAAGTTCCATCGCGACAGCTTCGCGGGTGGCAAACCCCACTGACTTGGGGTTGAGGAAGTACAGCGGAAATTGCTGGTAAAAATGCGAAAGAGGCGGAGATAAAAATTAACTTAAAAGCAAAAGCGCTCCGGTGCACCCTCGTATTGATGGTGAGAAATGCTGCAAATGGAGTTATGAAGCAGTGCAGACCAGTTGTGAATTGGGTGTGAAGGGAAGAAATGATAATAGTCTAATGCGATAATCACGATCTTATCATGGCCACAATGTGCTGATGTGAGATAGTTAATTACCGAGAGAGGGAGCTGTCGAAGGGGTGGCGCTCAGGAGGGGGTGAATTTCCGCAGAGAAAGAACTCATGTGCACACTGTAATGAGGCAGAGGCGAGGTATGGTGTGGAAATCTCAAAGAAACATGTAATTGCACATGGCGTTTCCCTATTCCGCTCACCACCTTTTCTCATCATTTTTCCCGCCTGGCATTTTCCATTTTTTCTCCCCACACCCCAACACCATCGCGAATGAGTCGTGATTCTCCTGGGATTTTTATTACAACCCATTGCGAACTGTGCAACTCACTTCCGGCTCTGCCGCTCTCATTCGGTCGTCCTCCTTAAGCGAAGTACGGAAATGAGCGAGGAAAGGCGCCCACGAAGGACGCTTTATTTCTTATAACTCCGCGCCTCTGTGTGACTATACAACAATTTTGAGCAGTGGCGGTTGAGATAATGGGAAAACTGTTGAAAGCGAAATAAGAAAGAATTATTACCCACTCCTGGAGGGATAAAGGATGCTTGCGAAGAATGGTGGAAGACTCCATATTTCCACCGATACATTCACATTGCTCATCGCATGAATTCACACACACAATTCCTTTGCATCCGAACCCAACATGGACGCGATTATGCGTGGCAATGTAATTAAACTTCGAGCATGTACTTTGCATTAAATCCATATTTTCAAAGTCATGTTTCAGGGACTCTTTTCCATGCCATCTTCATGTGCGCGTAAGACTCTCGTGGCTTCGAGACATCGCAAGAAAAGGAGCCCAGAGTGCTGAGGAAAATTTATGCTCAGACAGTCGAGGGAGAGAATTAAATTATGAATCTTACCATGGGGAATATGTACGGCAAAATATGATGACATTTACCAATTCATTCATATTTTAGGATTCATATTTCAAAGAAAGAGCCAAGCAATTTTCATAAATACAAGAAAGTCCTCTTGGATTATAAGGAATATTCTCCATGTTTAATTTAAGAGATAAACCTAGAATATGGAAAAGTACGCTAGGTCAAGGAGGCATACATTCCACTAGAGCAACACAGCTACACATCTTTAAGCTCCCAAAAAGCTCTCCTATCAACTGCAGAAATTGCGGAGAACTTTCTGTGCGTCCAGCCATTGAAACTCAATTAAAAAGCATTTAATTTGTTGTGCAAGACTTGTAAAATATTTAGAGTACCTCGAAATTCAGATGCAATTTCTAGGTGGACAAATTAATTTGTGTGACCTGGAAAGAACTTTCAACAAGTTGAGGAGAAGGAGAGACACTGTGCACACTCAATGCTATTAACCCATGACCCAAAGGGTTGTCTTTTTTGCCACCCCACCGAGTGAACTCCCCTCATCGTGAGAGGCAATTTAGAGAGGCGATGTTTCGCTCTTGGAACATATCTGGGGGGTGGATTTGATTGCACAGCAGCCCAAAAGCTCACAAAGTGGTGCAAGTTTTATGCGATAGTTGAGGCGCTTTTGGAGTGATAAATCCGACGTGGGCAAAGTTTTTCCATCTATTTTCATGTGTATTTCGTGCAAATTAAATCTCCGGCCGAGTTTCGGCTAAGTGGTGGGATTTCGGACGCTGGGAATCCTCTGCTTGTGGATAAGTTTGTCATTGGCGAAGAGAGATGGGATTTTGAGGGGCTCTCAAGTGATGCCATGTCAATTACAATGACCGAGAAGAGGCAGTCTGTAGCGTGCGAAGAGGGCGGGAAGACTTGATAGGTGTGATGTACATTGCATTCCACTTAAAATATAGTGTATTTAAATTACACACTTGAGTGAAAGTTAGAGTGAAACTTGCGATAGCTTTTAAGTTATTTTTCGCTCAGTAACTAATGTCATGTGACACTCTTCGTCTTCTTTATAAAGTATGTTGCGAGATGAAACTTGAAAATGGAAGCTTCTCTCCCTCGCTGCAAACTTAGGCTGATATGTTGCTGTATTTCTAATTAATTCCATCAACCATCTACATCAGATTGCGGTGTACAGTTCTGCCAAGACGCAGCCACCCTTAAGACCAGAGC